ACACATTCATGAGGGATCTGCTCCCTGACACAAACACCTCCCATCACACCCTACCTCCAAAATTGGAGATTACATGTTATTAACAACATGAGATTTAAAGGAGACAAACATCTGAACTATATTACTGATATGGTTTGGATCTATGTCCCCACACAAATCTCATGCTGAATTGTAAACCCTAATGTAGGAAGTGAGGCCTGGTGGGAGGTTACTGGATTATGGCTGTGGGTCCTTTATGAATGGTGTAGCACCATCACCTTGGTGTAGTACTTGTGATAGTGAGTGACTTCTTACAAGATCTACTTGTTTAAAAGTATGTAGAACCTCCTCTCATTCTCTCTTGCTACTGCTTCCACCATGTGAGACGCCTCACTCCTCCTTTGTTTTGTGCCATGATTGTAAGTTTCCTGAGGCCTCCCCAAAACCAGAAGCTGCCATGCTTCCTGTATAGCCTGAAGCATGATAAGCCTATTAAACCTATTTTCTTTATAAATTACACAGTCTTGGGTATATCTTTATGGCAATGTGAGAATGGACTAATATAATCACTTTGCTTCTAAATATACTCCTTAAAATTTCTACTTTCTCCACCACCTTCCCTAAACCAAACTCACCACGTAGAGACAGTAAAGCTGTGGGCTTTTCCTGCCTGAGTTGGGAAGACATAAGGTGGCATGGTCCACCTGCATCCCCAGGCAAAAAAAAAAATTACAAACTTGTTATTCTTTCCCAATACAGTAGCAGTTTTCCAGTACTTAATAGTTCTCAAACTGCTGCTTTACTTTTGTTCATTTTCCAGTACCTTAATATGGTTCTTAATAATTCTTAAAATTGTCCAGTTTTGTACAGGTTTTCTACAGATTGCCCATTCTCTTCATGACACCATTTTTGGAAGTGGAGTCCTAGTGATTTACTTTTAGAGCACATGTGGATATAGATCTCTTACGCCACCGCAAAAACTCATGCATATTGACCTCCTAATATAATTTTGTATCACATTACAATGTTTAATTAAGTGAATATTCAGTGTTTACATTATTATTATGATAATAATACCACAGAGATGTTTCCTTCCTTTTTCAACCTTTTGTTTTTTACTGCAGTGAATAACTGCTTCAATTACCTTTAGCTAATCCTTTCCATATAATAAAATGGTTTCTCTCAAGATTATCTGTCACATATTGATATGGTTTGGCTCTGTGTCCCCACTCAAATCTCATGTCAAGATGTAATTCCCACATGTTAAATGTGGGGCCTGGTGGGAAATGATTGAATCACGTGGGTGATTTCTAATGGTTTAGCATCATCCCCTTAGCGTTGTCTTGTGATAGAATTCTCACAAGATCTGATGGTTTAAAAGTGTGTGGCAGTTCTCTGCTCTCTCTCTCTCATCCTCTTGTGAAGAAGGTGCTTGCTTGTTTTTTTGCCTTCTGCCATGGCTGTAAGTTTCCTGAGGTCTTCCCACCCATGTGGAACTATGAGTCAATTAAATCTCTTTTCTTTGCTAATTATCCAGTCTTAGGTAGTTCTTTACAGTAGTGTGAAAGTGGACTAATACACATATGGTCAAACAAATCAACTAATTTATCAATTCTACTTTATAACTAAAAAAAAGAAAAAAAAAAAAGCAGCCAGCTATGCTGGCTCATGCCTATAATCCCAGCACTTTGAGTTCAGGAGTTTAAGATCAGCCTGGGCAACACAGGAAGATGCCACTTCTACAAAAAATTTAGTCAGACACAGTGGTATGCACCTGTGGTTCTAGCTACTTGGGAGGCTGAGGTGGGAGGATCACTTGAGCCCAGGAGGTTGAGGCTGCTGTGAGTCATGATCACGCCACTGCACTCCAGCCTGGGCAATAGAGTGAGGCTATGTTTCAAAAAATATGTATATTACAATCTTCTCTCCCATAGGCTTCAATACACGTTGTTTTTCTCTAGGCCTGCTGTCCACTCCTTATCCTGCTCTCCTGAATTGTACAACTTGTTAGCCAATTCCATGTCATCTCTTTCTAGATTAAATTCCTATTTTCAGTGATCTATATTTTACGGTGAATTACTAAGAAAAATAAACTGTTAAGAACTGTGTTTTGAGACTTTGTTATTTGCAAAATGGCTTTTATTATTTTCATATTTGACTGATAGCTTGACTGTGTATAGAATTCTGGACTGAAAATCTTTTTCCTTTCAAATTTTGAAGGCACTGCTTCACTGCCTTCTAGCTTTTAGCTAGCTCTGCTGTTAAGAAGCTCAATGCTATTCTAATTCCTAATCTGTCATATATTAACTGCTTTATTCCCTCTGGAAACTTCATCTTTGGTGTTCTGAAAATACTCACTATAGTGGCCTTGAGTGGCTTCCTTGCTATTCCTCTATTAATTACAATGGGTACTTAGTGGGCCCTTTCAGTCAAGAAACTAAAATCCTAGCTGTGGAAAATAGTCTTGTATTTGTGGTATTTTTGGCATTGGATAATTTCCTACATTCTGTTGTCTCTATTCTCTCTTTCTAGAATTTCTACAAGCTAGATGTTAATTGTCTTGAAAGGCTCAGTTCACCTATTCATTCAACAAATACTTACTGGGTACTCAATATGTGCCAGATGTTATACTAAGTGCTGAGATTACAGGGATAGACAAGATAGATGATGTCTCTACTTTCAGGAAACTTAATTGATTATATATATATATTTTTGTACTTCTTCTTTAATCTCCTTTCTTTTCTTCTTTTTTTTTTTTTTTTTTTTTT